CCTAAAATACACTATACCTGACTGACATCTCTATTCTTGATTTATAGAATTAAGTGGTAAGAAGCATCCATCCATACAAACTTTTGCATTAACAGTCAAATCTGGATAAGCGAGAGTCGAATTCCACAATATTTTGTTGCCTTTCACTCCAAAAGTAAAAAGCTCTGGCTAGGGAGATATCTTGGAGTTTGTCCAACTCTTATAGAGGCTTCTCCCTTATCCAGGTTCAACTGTATAATACTACTAAGTAGAAATATATGTAAGCAATAATTTAAATATTTTTAAATTACTAAAAGCAAGTATGTACCTTATATGTGGTATGCCAATGCCCCCTTGGAGCATTTTATATACTCGACTCTCATAGAGAAGCTGAGGGTGTCGGGCCTTAATGTTTTCTATCTTCACTGCTACCTCCTGCAACAAACAAATAACATATATGTTAATACTTTCTGAAATATATTTATTTGTTTGTCTTGAATAGGCTCTGAATATGGACCAATTTGAATAATTCATCCACTGTTGAGAAGCTACACTATTCCTGAGTGACATAGTCAACACTTAGCGCTAGATTTTTATATTTCTGTGCAGAAACAGTCACAGGCAACAGCCAGTGCATATATAAACAAGCAATTGGTGTTATTTCATTACTAATAGTCTTCCAGAGACTGTATATTTGTATTTGGAATTAAATTATACACATGAAAATTAATGTATTAATTCTAGTAACTAATATTATATTTTCTAAAAAAACAAAGCTAGTTTTATCTTCACCATAGTATATTACATATTACTAGTATATGACAAAAAAGGGGACCAAAAGCATGGTGCACTCCCTCAAGTTGGAACAATGACTTGGTGCGGATAGCAGGTAATTGTTGTATGTGGAAGGCCTATGTCCAACAAAGTACGGAGGCTATATATTATATCTATATATATTATAACAATGTGCACTTCAGTTACTTATTACAGATTAAGTTATAAATTATTCTGTCCCTTATTTTGTCTTGATTAATGAATAAAATACAACTTGAACAGCAAGGTCATATCTTCATAAGGTTACAGCAGAAAGTATTTGGATATGAATTGATTTTGTACAATATATTTAGGCAAAACAAACCTAGTTCATCATTATTAAGTGTTCAAACTGAAGAAAGCATTTAGTTTGTTGTTGTAGTGGGTTTAACACAGAAGTCACTGTACTTATACTAAATATAATCTTTAGTGGTAATAAATATCGAAGTACCACACCACAAAAACATATGTTTATGAAGGTATTAAATGCAGGAAACCTAACAAAAAACGACTTGGAAATTACTTAAAAAAATAATATATTAGAAACGTATTGTTCTCTAGTCACGTAATATAACACCAAAATAAATTGTTCGAAACCATTTTCATAACAGAACTCACGCGAGTCTCCACAAGACGCGCTATGATGTCGACTTATAATTAAATTATAAATGAAAGTACCTTTTTTAGATCATTTACAGCTAAATAAATATCGCCGAAACTGCCACAGCCTATTTTTCGGATAACTTTGTATTCTCCGATACCTGTTTCTATAATTGTATGTTTCTTGATGGTAGCCATTTTCTTTTGTCTTCATTACTCGTTAGTGAAATGAATATTTAACAACCATTATGAATTTGTGTTTTAAGGCTACACTTTTGATTTGTTATTGTTACAATCTAATAAAAATCAAATGTTTTTTTTAACAATTGCTATAAAATTGGACACAAACTCATTTCAGCACGTCAGCTCATTTCTGTGACGTCACGGCGATAGTGTTGCCATCGCGGAGAAAATATTTACCAAATTAGATTAGTAAAATATTGATCGTTGGTAGAACAATTAGACGTTGCCTTATTAAAAGTTCTTCCATACATTGTTATCTTCCTGAACTTAGTTAATTTTATTTTAATGATTTATTTAAGTTTACACCGAAAGAATCCAGCTTCCGATAATCTAGTAGAATATTTAAAATCTACCATTTGTAAGTGTTTAGATTTAAATTTACCAAATTTTTAGAAAGACATCAAAAAATGTTCGCATTAATTTTTTTTCAAATATAATATAAGCAGAGATGCATGAATTGTGTGAAAAGTTACATAATCTACGATTAAATAGGAACACTGTATGTGAGAGGAATAACAAAATATGAGTCTGAGAAAAGGGAGATCTCTCTTTTGATGACTTTTATAGCAATTTTTGTAAGAAAATAATGTTTTTACTCTAATCTAGTGGAAAGTAAAATTGATTTTAGTAAGGATGAAATATAACAGATTGAATCATATTTACATGTATTTACAATATTCATGTAAAATTATAATTCAAATATCTATAATTTAATGAATCATAGTTTTAAGTACAATTAATTTAGTTATTTTATGTACACAAAGCTGTTCAGTTCAGCATAAAGTAATAAAAAATTTAAATAACCATAGATGCTTGTCAGCAACTTTTGACGCATTTACCTATAATTAAATATCTTTATAAGCAATATCAAATTACAAATGAGGATAAAATAAATGAACGAGCACAATAACATGCACTTCATCAACTCTCATTAAAACTAATTTTTAATGTCTGTATTATTAAAATATTTTATTTTCATGCATTACAACAAAATTTAATTTTTTAAAATCATTTAACCACGCTCGCTCAAGGAAATTCAAGTCAGTTGGATTAATTTCAACGGGACTTTTAAAGAAAGGCATCTAATGGTGGTGGGAGTAACATAGGCTATTTTTTTTCGTGGTGACAAAGTTGCGGGTTGCCAGTATCAAAATAAAATTAGCATGTATTTACTATTTAAGCAATGTTTATACTTATTGTTTGTTATAATCTTATAGTTGTTTTTCTTATGATGTGATTAAATGCTAGTCAAATAAGTTAGTTCTATGTACAGTAATCTAGTAATAACTGGAATGTAATGAGTGTCTCATACAAAGTGGATTTTCTATGATCTAGTTTACTACCATTCAAAGATATTAAGGAGACTGCAATTTATACTATAACAAAGCAGATATGACTGTTCTTTGTAAATAAATAAAGCTAAAAATTTACCAATCATAAGATTTTTTTTAAGTTTACAAATAGAGAGAAGTCTTTTTTAAGATACTGATCCAGAGAAGACAATGGTTTCCAATATTTGTTAATAAAGATATTAACATTGTTGAGAAACTACCATTATAATTGGTACAGTTGTTTCTGATAAAACCCTAAATATAAGCAGATTTAGTAAGTGACATAGACAAAAATTTGGTTTTTATTACAAGTAAAACTAATACATCGGCTGTTCAAAATATGAATTTGCATTCTCATTTTTTTAATTGCATATGAATATGCTTTGTTATTTCTTTTATTTTTGTAACTTATCACACTACATTAATAAAAACCGTGTCGCAGAAAGATTATTTTCCTAAAAAACTGAGACAAAAATTTAGTCATAGTTAGTTACACAAAGGAGTTGGCAGAGAGCACAGACTAAAATTACTTAATCATATAAGTACAAAAGAAATTAGATGCAAATTATATATGAATCATTAAAATAGAGGGATGAATCAGAACAAATCCAATGATTGAAATTAGATTGCAAAACTTGTTGTCAATGACTGAAGTTCACATATGGGTTTCCACTGATAAAATACTTGTATAAAAAACAAAGTTGTTCCTTTTAGTTTCTTTCAAAAGAAAAAAAGATATATAATATTTTTGGACAGAATTACCAGCAAGTGAAAGCTGTTGATTAACAAACTTTATCATGGGTAACATATGTTTGAAGATAACACGAGAATTGTATTCTCTGGCTAGAACAGTTAGTTATAAATACTATTTTTTAACTTTGGACTCTTGTTATATACATTTGCACATTACTTACTAAATACAGGTTATGCCTTTGTTGCAATTATCATTTCACGCATGCAGTAAGGTCATGAGAATACAGTTAAAATATCGTATAATAACATTAAATACATTGTACGAATGTTTTCATTCAAAACAGGTCATTGAAGTTTCACAATCTTTACACAAACTTCCGAGAAGCATCACATTAAAATTAATAGGATATGGCCTAGTCATGTTTCAGTTTACGTAGGAAGCATGGTTTGAGAATTTATAGAGATAGCTTCACTCAAAGAAATGTAAATATCTGCATTACATTCACGAATAAGGTGCGTCATTGAATGGTAACCATTATGGTTTGGCGTTACATACGGGAAGCATATGATTGGGGTCACGTCACATTTGTACATAGCATTCAAAATGTTTGTATTTTTTAATTTTACCTCTCCGCTGGATATATTGATCGCCAAATGAATGTCACCAAAAGATCCACCACCTATTCTTCTAACCATCTTGTATTTCCCCGCGATTAACACTTCCCGTCGGGACGTAAACATTGTGAGTTCTTAGATATATATATTCACTAACAAATACGGAAAGTAAATAGTTAAAAGTACACTATGTACACTTCACAAAACTAAACACTATTCAATAAAAACACGAGTAAGATCTTGGCTACATTTTCTACAACTAAACAGATAAGAAATGTTTGGCCGATGTTGCCAGGTAAAAAATAAAAATTCTACAAAATATTTTACTGACCTTGTAGTTGTTTTTGCACGTTTAATCGCAAATGTTACCATGTATACTCTCTTTTTTCGTTTCAATATTTAGTACAAAAACATAAAAATCACAGTGTTCTTACGAGACTCATTATTACAGATTTCCTTGTGACTTTTGACTTAAAACAGAGCTTTCAGCTTTTTTATAATAATTTTAGAGGCCAGAAATTCAATATTTGTAATTTTGTTATGCAATCAATTTCATGTTAATCAAAAAAGTTTTTTTTATATCATAAGGTAGGAAAGGAGCCAGAGGTCACCTAAATTCGCCGAAATAGAGATGTATTGCTGACCATAGACATCTGCAACAGGAGATGTGTTGCTCGCCCTTAATCAATGGATGGGACATACAGAAAGAGTATATTTCCCTCAGTAGAGGGAAATATACTCTTTCTGCATAGTAATGCATCCCTTCCGCTAAATCCATCACTCCCTTTTAACATAAGGGTGGGACTGTGAACTAAAATTTTTACTCAAAATCTTTGGGGGATTTTTTTAACATCAACATTTAATATAAAATGGAAGTTTAAAGCAATAGTACAAATTTTAAAAGCCGTCTTGTAATTGGAAAAAATGTCTTTATCAAATGAGGTGTTTTATTACATTTCATTATTTATGTAAAGTTGCCAATAAAATAAATATAGCTCTATATTTATTGACAAAGCAGAGTTCTTAACAATATGAGGAAAATAACAAGGGAAGCAAAAATAATAGTACTACAATAACAAGAATAGTTCAAGGATTGGAATGTATAAATAGCACAAGACTCATAACTATCTTACAGATATAAATCTATTTACTAAATTTCAAAGTAAAGCAAAATAGTGGTGTAGACCAACACTGAGCAGGTTGGCAGCACTGAAACTTAAGAACAATGACTTATTAGTTCCATGTCATAGTATCTTGGTTCACCGAGAACACTTCCAGGGATCACCAACATCAAAGGGATGTTGGGATTCTTTGGACAGTTGGACTGGCTAGAGTAAATCCGGATCATGCTCTTAAAATACTCCCTTAGTTGTGGTGTTGCGAAAATGGAGCCCTTACAACTAGTCTCATGTTAATGCTGAGAAAACGACACAAGTTCCTTGTCAGACTGTAAGCTGTCTTGAATTTGAAGAGATGGAAGGAAGACATATAATAATTGGCTGCGGCCTATATATTTTTAAATTCTTTATATTCAAAATAAAAAGACAAGGCTGTATGGCTTAGTTCCTTTGCCTGCTCTTTCGAGCGAATAATAAAAAACAACAACAACAGTAAGCTGTCTTGACACATTCTGTGCTGTGTCATATTCTATGCTTTAGAACAATTTCTGACACAGCTGACAATGGTAAATTTGCCAATTGCATATGTACAGATAAATTTGTTATGTACAGTTTAATTTCTTTTTAATATACACAATGACAGGATGGTTACAATGGGTATATCAACATCCTAATGTATTTGTGAATTTTAACTATAAATAGCCAATCTTTTATTATGTAAACATTCTATGAATAAGGAACTCGACTTTACAATTTAAATCCAAGTTTTATATTACTTAAATTTAATTTTAAGCGAAATTTTCAGCTTAAAATTTTAACTTGTCATAATTAATAATCACTGAAGAATATTTATTACAAATGAAAATCATTTTACTCGGAAACTATTGTCAATTTATAAAATAGACCATGTAAATTATAAAACACTACAATTTTTATCTTATTTCTTTTACTACTAATATTTTTCATCTTTACAAGACATACAGCTACTATTTAGATAAATATAAGACATTATTTTAGTAGTTAATTGAATTTAAAACTTTGAAAACATGATACAAGATATTTTAATAAATAAAATGATATTGAATGAAAATTAACATAAACACAATAACAATTGCATCAACATAGAATAGAATATGTGAGAAATAAAGGTATATCAATAAGTAGGTTTCCGCTGTTCATAACCACCAATTCAAAAACAGGTTAACCCACCACTTTTTCTATGGAAAATCAAAGATACAAAAATGTTTTTGTGTAGGCGTATGCAATGCAAACTACCAGTTAAAGGAAATAATGTGAAAAGTAAAAATATACAACAGACATGACAAAGTTTGTTTCTATAAACAATTTCAAGTAACAATGCCATATTTGGTCATTATTTCACACTTTTATATAACAAAAATTAGGTTTAAGATGTGATGATAGTATAAGATATTAACATGAAGTGTTTTAGTGTACATTAAAAGAAATTCTAACAGAATAAATGTTCAAGGTAACAAGAAGAACAATCCTAAAGTCTAGTTTATTGATTTCAAAGTTAATTTTACAAAAGATAATAATGCTAGGTCATTCTGTTTATTGTTTAGTTGTTACTGTTATAGATTTATATTGGAATAATAGATTCATTAAGTCGACATACTTAATTTGGCGTAAAACATTGGTAAATTACGGTCATGCTGATAAAATTGTGACATATGACGAATAATCACAGTTTTATTTTTCTCCATCTATAACATAGTGCGTAATAATCGATACAAAGATCGTCATTTAGTCCTTGAGCCTTCCTCATACCTAACACGGACGTATGTACGCAATTTCACAACCCCTTGACGACCTCTTTTCAAAGTTGAAATAACACGTCAATCGTACATAAAATTAGTATAATAATGAAATATCCACTTACCTCGCCATTAGCGGTGTTTATGCCCAGATAAATATCACCGAAAGAACCACCACCGATTCTTCTAATAATCCTATATTTTCCTGCAATAAGAACCTCCCTTTTAATTGCCAGCATACCCTGAAAGTTCGACATGGTGACTGATTGTTCTCTAATTTGGGTAGATTACACGAATTTTGTTATAAAACCACACAAAGATCTTGAAACACTACAACAACAAGTTTTGACGCGCTATCATTTCTATTTCGTGATGTCGTGAACAATATTAGCAAAACGGAAAGAAAGATGTAAAACGAAAGATAGTAACTGGCTGGTATGGGCACGTTCCGATACACGATTTACTTTTACGGTAAAGTCAATGTTGCCATACAGCAATATAATGTTTTGTTAAATCAATTTTAATTTTCTTTATTGTTCTTGTACTTTATTTCATTTGTACAATAAATTCAACTAGAAAGGAATTTTCAACGCCACATTTTGCAAATACTCATAATAAAATGTATAGTGCTTATTGTACGGTCGTGACAGGTTTATTAGTTACTAGCTTTCGCCCACGACTACGTCCGCGCGGAATTAAAACATAAAACTGAATTTAGCAGGATATTTGTTTTTCCAGATTATGTTCTATATCCATGGCAATTTCATTGAAATCCGTTGAGCAATTTTAGAGAGTTTTTCTAACAAACATCCATCCATCTAAACATACGCATTTATAATATAAGTAAGATAACTTTGCCCAAAAACTATGAATATTGGATTTTGCCACAGATAAAATTAGTGTTATTTTATAAAAATGAACCTGCTAGAGAAAAGGAATGTTAGCATGAATTCTATCCTAATCTGATGAGTTTAAATAATTTGATCCCACTCTGCTCGTACTGAGTGAATAAATGAAAAACATGATTTTAAATATTATTTTATTTATATTGTGTACACGTTAAACAAAATATAATAAAGTATAAATAAAATATGTAGTTAATTTCTTTGATTAAAAAAAAATTACAAACAAACGTATTTCATGATATTCAAACAACTATGAAAAACAAGTCAAAAAAATAAATTACAAATATTTTGTGATAAAAATGACGACAAGATATTTTTTTAAATTCGATCAAACTTAAAAAATAAAGTTTTACTTAAATCTAGTGCGAAAAAATAATATAAAATTAATGAAAAAATGCACTTTTACAAAAAAACATTGCGTCATATATTACGTCAAATATGTATAATAATGGCAGTCTATTTTTAAAATTATATATAAAAACGGTTTATTGTAGAAATAAGTTCACAGTCAAACAATGTAATTATCTATAAATTCACATTTTAGCAAAGAAATCTATTTATTATTTACGTTCGTTGATTTTTGATAACACTATAATCTGATATTTATCCCTTTCAGAACCAAATCAACAGCTATTCTTACATTGAAGTACGTATTTAATTTTTAAATGACCTTGACAGTAAACATTGGTTAGTTTAGTCTAAAAAATTGTGTACTAAACTATCAAAGCTCCAATACAATTCAAATATGACGATAAAAAATGCATTCTTCTTTCTCTTAATTCGATATATTCCATACATTTTCCGGTGAAAAAGATTTTATTACGATTTAAGTAGAATCTACTAAATTGTAGCAAATTTCTACGCTGGCAACATTAGTCTATAGGTATTAAGGCGCGGGCATGCACTTGAGGCGTTCGAAGGCGGCCTTCTCGAGAGCCTCGCGGTGATCGGGGTGAGCAATCTTGATCAATTCATACGCCCGCTGACGTAATGTTTTACCGAATAAATACGCTATGCCTTGTTCGGTGACTACGTAGTGGACATGCGCTCTAGTTGTTACAACACCGGCACCTGAATTAAAAACGGGTAAACAAAACTAGTTTATAGATAATTGATAATTACATAATATCTAAGTTTCAGATTTAACTTCAAAAATAAAGATATTGATTTGTCTAAATTTTTAAATAAAAAATAATATGTATAACAATTCTCTTTCAATTTATAATTTAACACAGAGACGGTTAATGATCATGTAAACAGTATTTAGTGTAGATTTTTCACAATAAATCATAATAAGGGACTCCTATATTGATTTGGTAATTCCTTCAACACCTTCACCATCCATAGACATTTGGAAATGCCTACTTTAAATCGATAGATGAACGTAAGAAAAGGTATATTTTACCTTCCTATACGTTCCTCCATCAAATCCTTTCCCTTCCCATCCTTTCCTTATAACAAAAGAGTGGGAAGGGTAAGAAGAAATTTAGAATGTGGACGGAATTGCTTCCACGTGAAGTCTATTTTCTGTATGATCGTGGTATTGCACTGGAAGAGCCCCATTTAACAAATGTTTTAGCTCTATCAATGTTAATATTTGAGTTACTGACCAACTTTAAGCGTGGGTACTATTTTAGTCTCGTTCTTCTTGGTGGTGGAGACAAGCGCGATGATGGGTTTCCCGCGACCGTCCACAGACTCCGCAGCGCCGCGGATGAAGTCCACTTGACCACCGAAGCCCGAGTACATGCGGGTACCTGGTAAATAATAACAAATTTTATAATTGTCTTAACATAGTGAGGAATGAAAAAAAATAATTTCATAAAATCTCATTCAATAAATTCAAAAACAATTATTTTTTTTAAGATTTGTAATCAAACAAGGAGGGTAGAGGTGAGGGGCGCTACTATCGCGGTAGTTTCTCTGAAAATATGTAAAACCTACTTAGACACAGAAAATTATATAAAAGAAAATAAAGAGGATCTTTCAATGATTATAGATAGGCTATAAAACATAGTATTTTGTGCCTCATTGATTTTGCCTCGGCGCTGATGGTAGCGGTTTGAAGCGGTGGTGTGGATTAGAACTAATAACACATAGATAGAATTTAACTAATAATCAACAGGCGAGTTTAAATTGGAACTAAGGAAAAACTATCGTTTGCGAGCAATCCCCTATACATTTGTAGAGATCAGTGGGATCTTTTGACATTTTGACGTTGGCAGGGGGGCGCTACTGAGCTGTCAAAATTTTAGTTTGACTTATATTCACTGGAACAGAAATTCTTTCTAATCTTATTTCTTACTTAATATTATAAATGCGTATGTTTAGAGAGATGATTGGATGTTTGTTAAAAGATATCTCCAGAACGGCTTAACGGATCTCGATGAAATTTGGCATACTTATAGAGCATAGTCTGGAAGAACACATGGGCTACTAATCTATTTTTTTTTAAATTCCTTGCGGACAGAGTCGCTGGCAACAGGTAATATGGGTATAACTGACCGATAGAGTCTGCGCAGACTTGTCCGGTGAGGTCGACCTCAATGCAGGAGTTGATGGCGGTCATTGTGGGCTGCAGCGACACCACGTGAGTGTTGTTCACGTAATCTATCTCCAGCATCTCTGCAATATACACATTACTAATAATATAAATGCGAAAGTTTAAATGGATGGATGGATGGATATTTGTTAGTGTTAAATTTTAGCACACATATAGAACATAGTCTGGAAGAACACATAGGCTACTTATTAAGTTATTTTTCATTCCACACGGACAAAAGCTATAGACCAAAACTAGAAGTTACAAATGACAATGTGTTAAAATGCTTATAAATCTATCAAAAATATTTACAGATTAAAAATAAAAAAATGTAAAAAATTAAAAAAAAACAGATAAAACAAGATAAAATAATTATAAGATGTTTACCTATGAAAGGATTGTTATCCACAAAGTCGTAGAGCTCTCGATTACCAACAAGGAAGCTGCCGACGATGCGCCCTTTGTGAGTTTTCTTCCTGTTTACAGTTAAATTACATTTACGTGATAAATACACAGAATTCAATTAGCCATTAATTAAATCCTAGTGTTTCCTATATTTCTTCGAATTGGGCCGATTAAAATTATAGAAAAATTGTTTTTTTTTATATTTCATTGCGGATTAAAAGCCTCTAATCCAAACCACAATACATGCATTAAATGGATGTATGGTTTTTTTTCGCATCATTAAATAAAAAAAAAATCTTATTCAGCCGATTTATCCTAACATGATACATTTCCTGTTGCTGATTGTTAAAATAAAAAAAATATCCCATTGGACGCAATGATTCTATTAAGATCTGGTTTTGAAGGTTCATATAATTTTTATTCTACACTCTCAATCGGTCCAATAGTAAATCACAATAAAACACACCATAATAGAAAATATCTTAAGACATTTTTAGTTAAAATACTTTGACGCATACATCGCGCTTTCATTACAAAGTCAAATGTCAGACTGATTAGTGAGGGGACATTGACGTCGACATTTTAGTAAGACTAGTGTTTCCAGTACACCGGCACTGTGTCGGATTTTCTTCCTAACAATATGAATCTTTTTTTACTATACTTGTTATTGGTGACGCATCCCCTGCGCACGAGGTCAATGACACCCACACTGAACATCTCAGAATGTATGCCCAAGTCCTTGTGGTCCTTCAGCGCGGACAACACCGCGTCCGGGATACTGCCGATACCTTAAAACATCAAATAACAATAATTTAACAGTGGTAGAGTCCGCTTTAACATGTTCGCACGAATTGTCCCGGCTCACCCGGTGATATACCACGACCATACAGAAGACACGCGTCTGATGAGTGTGCGTCCCGGAAGCCTAATTTAGTCCTCTTTCCCTTCCCACCCTTTTGCTTATAAGGAAAGGATGGGAAGTGGAAGTAGACTAGGATGAGAGGATGCATGGAAAGGGAAGATATTTTCTTTCTGTGCATCCTCTCCTCCGTCGATTAAAGGTAGGCAACGCAGCAATTGTGTATGTCTATGGGCAACGATCATTTCGCTATTTCAGCGATTTCAGGTGACCGCTCGCTCGTTTGCCACCTTATGATATATAAAAAAAAACAAATAAAAAAAATGGAATTTGCCACATAAACTGCTGTATCTTTTAATTGCGTTAGCTAAGAAGTTTTATCACAACACCAAGAAACATAAGATTTAAGTATTTGATATAAATTCCAGTTTTATATTATGACTCGTTCCTGAGAAAAAGGGTCTTGACACACAGACGGATTGACAACAAAGTGATCTTATCAAGGTTCCGTTTTTTTCCTACGAAAGATGCAAAAGTTTATTTCTTAAATTATTTTTTTTAATAAAATATTCAAAAAGGGCTATATTAAGAACACTTGAAATCGATTACTATACTAAAATGTTTAAATGTAAAACGGAGAGAGTTGTCCCAGGACCACAATAAATAAGTCATTTCTCTGCATACCCTACTTATTTACTAGCGTGTCTCATTCTGTGAACACTTACCCATCTGTAATGTAGCTCCATCTTCAACC